CGTACGCGGCCACCATATGGTAAAAATAACTAGCCGAATAAGGTAAAAGCATTACAAACCTCTATCTATTTACTATATTTGATTGACTAAATGATCTTATTTTTAATTAATATTTTTTCAAATTTTACAATGTAATTTAATAATAGAAATGATTAAAATTTTATAAATCAGTCATCAGGAATTTTGAAGAGCCACGCATAATCATCATTAAGAAAAAGTTAAATAAACGCATTTGGGTTTTGATTCCCCCAACAATTTGCCAACTTTTGAGCCTTTTAGGCACGCATTCCTTTTAAGCCTATGCAAGTCTGATGTCTCCGAATGCATGTACCTCCTAATTTCTTCTACCTTATTTTTTGACATGTGTCTTTACACTTAAGAGGATATTGATACTTTTAATTCCTATTGATAACATATTATTTTATTTAAAAAAAAAAAAGTAATCTACCTTAAAAATAAAATAAAAACTCCTCATTGTCTTCCAACCTAGTTCGCCAATGCAACCACCTTCTCGATACCACCGAAAAACACCTTCTTTTTTTGTAACCCCTCCTCAACGTATCATCACACAGCCTGAAAAGGCAACATCGTAAATCTAAATGATGTCGTCAAACATCATTGAACCTTCAACCAATATCTTAAAATTATGCAATGATGATTCAGAAGGATTGGATGGAATTGATGATTAAGAAGGATTGGATGGCATTAGTTGAAGGAATGGGGCAGGATCTTCTTTGTGAGGATCCAGATATTAATCAATCGTGTCTGTTTATCATACATCATGCAACCAATTTTCACTAGATACTATTTATATTTAATTTTAAATTAAAAATTAAAAATAATTTCTAATCGTACGATGTACGATGAACATACACGATTGATTGAGCATATGGATCTCCACAAAAAGAATCCAGAGAGGATCCTATTCCGAAGGAATGAAATTAGAATTCCATATTTATGCAATGATTCAGAAGGATTTGGATAGCATTAGATTGGATTTGAAATTGCAATTGATCATATTGCTTAATCTTTGTTTATGCCGATTCGGGCGTTGCGAACCACTTGTACACTCATAAAACCGAAACACGCTTTTCTAAGAAGATCAGAATCGGAACGGTAAAGAGTGGATTTCTACTTGGAGCACCACGAGACCATGGCAGCAACGCGCCCACGAAGTTTGGGGGATTGCCTAAGTTAGTTTCTTTGAAAAATAGTGAATATTTAGATCTTAATTGGAAAATTTAGAAAAATAATCAAAATTTGGAACTCATGTAGAATTATAGCTACTATTTTAAGTTTATGATAATCATAATCAAAAGTTGATATGAAAGTACTAAAATATTCTTAATTAAGATTTTCCAAAAGGGATGTGATATTCACACATCCATTTTTACTTTTCACACACCTTTCTAATTTTCGGCTGTTCAAAAAGTTCAATTGAAAAAAATTAAAGAACAAAATTTTACTACAATTGTATGAGAAGTAAAAATGAGTGCGTAGATAGCACACTCCTTAAAAAAAAAAAAGAACCAAAAAGCAAATGTTTCGGCGATTAGCTCACTGAGTTGGAGTTGTTTGGTTCATGTCCTAATAAAATAAAAATACCAGTACACAGGAAAATATGAAAAGATATCGTTGACTGACCATGTATGAAAACGTGAGTATTTAACCAACGGAGGTAAGCACTCGGTGGCATGCTTTCGAAGGACTGAACCCTCCATGGGTGCTTGTATCGAAAGCTGTCAAAATCTAGCAAAAACCAGTGAACCGTCGGCTTTGGAGCTTCCGGTTTGCATGGATCGGGACTTGTAGCCTTGTAGGTTCACTTTGATGTAATACCAACCGAAAGAAGATGAGTACAAAGAAATATGAAATTTCCTTATTCATTTTCAGATAATATCCCAACTGATTTGAAAAGACTAACGTTAATGACTTCATATTTTTTTATAAGTAATGTTAGGGAGACTAATTTGTGGGCAAAGTTTTGAAAACTAAAGAACATGAAAATTGATAATTGGTTTATTACTTACATGTTGATAAACGTGCTTATTCTTGTTGGTGACACATCATTTAGTTTGTAATTTTAATTTCTAAATTGGGTCTCCCTAGTGATACCCTTCTTTTATCTTCCTTCTAAGCAACTAAACAAAGGAAATGAAGCAAAATAATAAATAAGGGAAAAAATAAAACATGTTTCTCTCACATCTGCATCTAGATGCAAAGTGATCTGAGCATATACCTTATCTATTTTTTGTTCTGCCCGTAAGTAAAAGCAGACATTAATTTCAATGAAAACCAACAAAAATCGTGGATTACACGGAAAAACTACATTCCGAACGCAATACTAGTGATCGCATATGAACCACACTAAGAAATTAAGGAGATGGTTGCTGGTTCAGTTCCTGATTTATTGATGCTCCAACAACAAAAAAACCCAAAAAACATAAGAAAAAAAAAATTTAAAAAAACAAAAAAAAAAAAAAAAAAAGATTTTGATTCATTGAGAAACAATGAAAACAAGTGGGATTGAAGAAAGGATCAACAGGAAATTTTTAATCATTAAAGGTATATTAATTAGTACTTTTATATAGGGGTGCAACTTGGATTGGGCAACCCGAACCCGCTCATGTTCAACCCAACTTTAAACCCGAACAAGCGGGTTTTTTAAGTTATAACCTGTCCAAACCCAACCCGATTTCAACCCGTTCATTGATTGGATTGGGTTGGGTTGATCATTTGTGCAACCCAACCCGATTGGGTTGAGCTGTGCAACATGTTTCTCAATGACCCTTGCACCTTCGTGGAGGATTCAATAGTGACTTTTGATGGATTATGATAGAAAAGTGCATGGAGTTGCAGAAAGCAATTGTTTTTCTGGTAGCCACACTTTGATTTTTTTGCAGGAGCTTCGAAGGACAAGACTTGAGTTGGGTACTAGCTTTGTTTTTCTGCCGGAGCTTCGAAAGGCAAGACTTGAGTTGGGTACTAGCTTTGGACAATGAAGTGTTCCTTTTTTTTTTCTTTTGGTACTAGCTTTGGTATTTCTTGTATTTTAATCCAAACTTCACATGAACCCGATTAAAACTTAAAAAAGTTGGGCAACCCGAAACCAACCCAAGTAAACTCGAACCCGATTAAACCCGAACCCGAATAAACCCGATTAAAACCCAACCCGAACCCAAACCCGAATTGTAAAAGTTGGGTTAGGGTTGGATTGACCTTCTAACCCGCCCAACCCACCCGAGTTGCACCCCTACTTTTATATCAACTTTTGGTTATAATTATTATAAATTTTAAACGGTGGCTATCATTCTATATAAGATCAAAATTTTGGCTATTTTTCCAAATTTTCCATCTTAATTGCGTAGCGAAAACTTACCAAAAATTGGTGGAGATAAAGTATTTATAGGGAGGTGGCTGACCTAGGTGCAGATCGCCCTACACATGGCGGCTTCTCATTGGCCAACGTGAGTCATCCATAGGATGGATGAGGAAAAATTTATCCAAAAAACATTATGAGATAAAATCTCGAAATGATGTTGGTAGCATCCTTGATTGATTGTGATGAAGATTCCTTATACCATTTCCAAAGAAGATGTCAAATCCTAAGTGGAATGTCATGAAATCAAATTTGAAGGTAGGAATAAACTCCAACTGATATGTCAATCATATGTGGATTGACATATGAGAACATGTGCTGTAAAATAATTTTGTAATCATTTTATTGTGTGCGTCTCATTAGTACACCAATTATAGATCTTGAAAATTTATTTTTATTTATTTAATTATAAAAATAGGTTCTACAAATATCATTTATAACAAAAAAAAAACATATGGGTTGGAGGAAGAGAAAATCTAACATTGCTACGTCAACTATCAAATTAACATTTGACATTTATCTTTTGACATCTCTATTGAAGAGTATTAAAGATAGGATTTGACAATTATTCTTATCTTTAATGTCTTTGACATTTCTTCTTTGCCGCTGGTAGGAAACTTGGTGGTATCATAGTCTTCTGCTCAAGCCTACAAAGATGTTGGACGTGAGAATATTTATGTGCCCTGCCCATCTATTGAGGCATTCTTGTCTTCTTCAGAAGAAAAAAAAAATCCACATGTCATCTTCAAGATTTTTTGTCCTATTTTTTGCTCTGGTGAACTAGGTTATAGATGAGATTTTTTTTTTGAATGAATAATATTATCTACACTAAGGGGGAGGGGATGAGTTTAGCCTCACAATGAGCTAGCAAGAATCGAACCTAAAACTTCTCGCTTACAAGTGAAGAGATGCTCTGGTGAACTAGGTTATAGATGAGATTTTTTTTTTTGAATGAATAATATTATCTACACTAAGGGGGAGGGGATGAATTTAGCCTCACAATGAGCTAGCAAAAATCGAACATAAAACTTCTCGCTTACAAATGAAGAGAAATACTATTAGACCGTAGTACTAAGTGGCTACATATGAGATTTTTTTTTTTAATTTTTATTATATTTTAATAAGGCTTAACAATGTCAGTGCTTTGTTAAATGCAAGATCATGTGTGGAACAAGAGTAATGCTAAAGAGAATAAATTTTTTAAATCAAATGTGCAAATTAAATGACGTGGTTGTAGATAATTGAATTATTAATTAAATATCGATTAACGTGCTTGTTTCATATTGATGACACATTATTTGGTTTGTAATTTGATCTTCCTAGCATTACTCCTAGAACAAATAGATAGAAGACACGGATGGGGACATGCATTCGGAGACAGGAGACATGCCGCCTTTTGACTTTTTGAGCCGTTGGTTTTCCCAGTAGTAAGAGTAAAATTTCACAAAGTTTGAGTACTATATATAGTCTATACCACCATTCTCAACACCGAAGCTCACTGAAGTACGAGCACCTTGCATATATAGAACATCGAACTAGCTTAGTACAGCTATATTTCGGGTCTGAACTGCCTTTACCAACCTACATCTAAGTTGAAGGTTTGCTAGCTAAGATGTTGAATATGGCGAAAGTAGCAGAGGAACACGTTGAAGCTCGCGTCAAACAACTCCTGCCTCGTATGACTTTGAAAGGCAAGGTTGGCCAGATGACCCTAATCGAGCGCCAGGTCGCCACTTCCGCTGCAGTTAGAGACCACTTCATAGGTGTACAAATATATATATATATATAGTAATTGATGGAGGGCTATTTATATTATGGGGTTGGCAGGGAGTACATTCAGTGCTCCAGGCAACGTGCCCTGTGAAAAGGCTTCGCCGTCAGAATGGGCGGACATGGTGGATGGGCTTCAGAGGTCAGCGCTAACGTCGAGGCCTGGGATTCCTCTCATATATGCGACTGATGCGGTTCATGGCAACGGCAATGTTTATGGTGCTACTATATTCCCTCACAACGTTGGTCTTGGCGCCACCAGGTAATTAGTTTGTCTTTCATTTTTGTTTTAAATTTTCCTCAATGTTGTAATATTGTTACGTGGTGTTACTGAACCACCCATGGTATAACCCGAGTTTAATTTGTCAACTCTATAAACACCTCGCTCCCCTGACCTAGCTATATTGTAACAAATGGATTATAGTTTGGTTTAAATTACTGAATTGTAGACTCATAATCATATTTTGGTTAAACCAAAATGAAAGGGATGAGTCTTCGGTAGTCCTCCTTCATTTCCTCTAGTTTAACTTTTGAATTGTGTTATAGAGATGCGGATTTGGTTCGAAGGATTGGTGTGGCAACTGCTCTTGAAGCCAGGGCTTGTGGTTTTCAGTATATTATCGCTCCCTGTGTGGCTGTAAGTCATTATAGATTCCGTACTAATTACGTTTATCTGTTTTATATTCAGAATGCAGTTTATCAGATTGGGAATTTAGTGTCAATTTGCAATATATAAGTACTTACCCAGGCTCTGTTTGGATCTTAGAATTTGGATTTTAATTTTCAAATATATATGAATTTTGAAATCGCTCATTTTAAGATATATTAGACATGATAATGAGGCATGAACTGGATGGGTTTGTGAAGAAATTCAGTTGAATGGATTCCGAGAGTTTTGACAGGTATGCAAAGATCCGAGATGGGGAAATTGCTACGAGAGTTACAGTGAAGACACTGAAATTGTATGCAAGATGACATCTATCGTTTCAGGCTTAACGGGGCAGCCTCCCCAAGGACATCCAGAGCGCTACCCTTTTATAGCGGGAAGGGAGAGAGGAGTTATATCAGTCGATATTTTATTATTCATGCTTCTTTTTCATGGAACATTTTGCATTTATCTCAGTTTGATAAGTTACACACTTGTACGTTTTCTCTGTTCCAAAGAATTTGGAAAAAGAACGTTGACATGTTTGAGGTCATTTCTTCACTCTGACACTCACTCTTATGCCTACCATAATCTTAAATATTTTTAATTTTCTCCTAATTCGTTTTATATTTCAGCAACAACACTATTGCATGTGCCATGCATTATGTTGTGGAAGAGGGGAATGAGGGGGATGCTCTATTATCTTACGACGATTTAGAGAGGATTCATATGAAACCTTATCTGGACTGTATTTCTCAAGGAGTTTGTACTGCTAATCAATGAGGGGAATGCTGTATTATCTTACGAGGATTTAGAGAGGATTCATATGAAACCTTATCTGGACTGTATTTCTCAAGGAGTTTGTACTGCTATTATGGCTTCCTATAACAGCTGGAATGGAGATAGAGTACATGGTCACCGTTTTCTCCTTACAGAAATCTTGAAAGATAAGCTAGGTTTTAAGGTGAGGAAACCATATAATCTGCATAATTTCTCATCTCAAAGTTTAATTGGACCGTTATTAAATGTAAACATCGGCATCTACTGTTGCTGCAGGTAATTTTGATTTCTGACTGGGAAGGAATTGACCAACTTTGCGAACCTGAAGGTTCAGACTATCGTTTATGCATTTCCTTAACCATTAACGCAGGAATAGACATGGTATAAACACTCCAAGCTTATTGGCCAAAACAATTATTCACTTTCCTTGATCTTTACATTGTCTGATTGGGTAGGTATGCGTGCAGGTCATGGTGCATTTCAGATATGAAAAATTCATCGAGGAATTAATATATCTTGTGGAATCCAGGGAGATACCAATGTCTAGGATAGATGATGCTATTGCAAGAATACTCAGAGTGAAGTTTAAACTTTGCAGGACGTAGTTGATTGCATGGTAATCTTCTGAGCTCAGTACGTCTTACAATCTTCTCGTTGAACATTCTGTTAGATTAGAATTTAGTCTCAGACTTGGATCACAGCATTCATATAAGTGTTAGTCAATTATGATTGAATAATCATATACATATACACGTACCTGAGGAAGCCATGAAGTATGAGATGAATGCACGGAAGAGAAAACTATCAAAACGTGTTCTACTCACACAGTCCTTATGTCCAATACTAGTGACAGTCTAGTGATCGAGTGAACGTGTGTGTGGTGAGCAGGGACATTCGTACTTATAGAGTATATTCCTAACATGATCCCAGCTATCATGGGATCAGTTAATACCCATTAATTTACACGTTCGAATGAGGCTGACTAACCTCATTTGTATCACGTTCCCTTAATCCTAATTAATAGGAAAGCAGTTTTTTCATATGGCCACGACTCCTAGTTTAAACCACATTTAGTATCCTTATCATGATATGTGTAAGTTCAAAACCTAACATTTTCCCACTTTAAACTTTCACTTATCATGTTCCTTGTGCAATGTATTAAACCAATCCCTTGTGATCACATGAGTCAAATCAACCATATAACAACTCATGCGCCATGAATAATTTCAAAGATTTGAACCCCAGAAAATTTGTACTTCATAAATTGTACTAACACTCTGAGATCACATCCTCCAAAACTATTCATGCATGATATTAATGGAGCAGACAAACATATTAAAATGTCCATCCTATACACTCCCACTGATCAAACCAAACATCATTGAAAAGCCTTCATTTGGCTCCAATGAAAAGCTTAAATAATTCAGCTTGTTAATCCTTGGTCTGCTCTCAGTTTCATTATTTCAACACACACACACGTATATGTATTTGTATTCACATACAATAACTGAAACAATCAATTCTCATCAATTGCCATGATAATATAAATATACGCGTACATTAGTCCATGCTTATTCAAAACACATGGAAAATTGAGATGAAAGGAACAACCTTTACTACCACATAGCAGCTGAATCAAATAAGTCAATGACTCTCATATTCATGACATGATCTTTGAACACTCCAACAGCCAAGGGCTTCGTGAGAGGATACTCCTGCCTTCACCTTTTCCTTTATGGACAAATATTTCACGTCCATCATTCATACATGTTTATGTTACACCTTTGTGTAAGAAACATAAACAACCATCATTTTGAAAATAGATTATGTAACCTTAATCTATAACAGTCATGTAAAAGATTAAGAAAACAGACAAGATTTCAAGTCTTTGGACAAGAAAGCGGTCAATTTAATTCTCTTGAAAATGTTATACCCTAAAAAATCTCAAACCATTTATGTATTTCTCTCTTTGGAAAAGAATATTGACATGTTACAAGTTTTAAAACCATAATTTACATAATCCAGTTCCTGAAGTCTTTTCACTTTGGTGAAAAACATATGTACACAAGTTTGCACTACAAATCTCGTTCAAAAGATTTTTCCTGAAGAAGTAAAGGTCAGTGAACAAAATATTATCGCAAAATACTTTATAGCTATGATTGCAACCATCTGAAGAAGCCAATAAACATCAGTGAGGTAAACCCCAAACCCTACCGATCATAAAATAATCATTGGTCAAAACCAATTAAGCAGTCTTTAACTCAAAATTGCCTCAAAACTCATTCAGTCGTGAAAACAAGTTCATTTGATCATGCATATTTATGTCACACTTTTGAACAAGAGACCTAAACCGCCTTAATTCTTTACTGTACAACCATCATAATAGATTAAGATAGAATAACCCTTTGATAACTTAATGCCCAAAACCTTCTTAACAATATGATTAGAATAACCCAAGAACAACTCCCATTAAGTTTTTAGAACTTATACACTTATTGCAAATAAGTTAATGAGTGTGAAGCTCAATTTTCTTTTACTAATTCTCCCACTTGGGCAAACACTTGTTAATATATTATTTCAAAAAATGTATCAAAAAATTATTTTCTTCCTAAGGAAACATCTCCAATACATGCCATAAATTAGCCTTGAATGAATTCCACATGCCTTTAAAATTCATATGTTCATCACCTCCTTATAAACATAACCACTTGACCAACGCATTACATAAGAACCAATATTTAATTATCACATAATTACTACAAACCTCATTGATTTGTATAATGTCTTGCCATAATTACTACAAACCTCATTCATTTGTATAATGTCTTGCCACTGAATGCTTTCTTTTGTTCCATCCATGAATAAGCAATGATAAGTACGGAGAAGCTCAAGCATTAGCCTTCAATTCCGATAAACCTCCCTCATCAGAATTAGTGCTCACACCAATGACAAAAGCTTGAGATATAACTAACCGCATTGCATCAAGTAAACTATAAAGCAATCTCTGTTTTTCCCAGAGAAAACAAGTCAAACTCATCCATAACAAAGATAATTGTATGAGCTAATCCACACTCCCTTTACATGGCTATCTTAAAGTGGGTTATCATCAATGATGCCATTCTCAACAGCACCAACTGATGGACCATGCATAGCTGCCTACTTGGTACATAATGTTGGAACTTTATTAAGGTTAGCTCATAATCAAGGATTACAAACAATTAGGGAACAAGGTTACATACATACATACATACATACATATATATGGGTAAATTACATAGTAGCCTATCAGGTTTAAAGTCTATTACAACCACATACAACATCTTTAAAACATTTCACTTTCATACCTCACGTTCTATTTTATTTCAAAATAATACCTCCGTTACATTTTTCATCCATTAATCTGTTAAATGCTGACGTGACTGCCACATTTGTGCCACGTGGCTACCAAATGTGTGCCACATGGCAAAAAAAATAATTTTTTTAATTTAAAAAAAAAAAAAAAACCTAAATCTTCTAAATAAATTATAAAACTTAAAAAAAATTCAAAAACCATACAAACCCAAAAAACCCCGATCTACTTCTCCATCTCCTCCCTCTTCACCCTCCCATCCCTTCTCTCTCCCCAGACCCACACCTCCCATCCCTTACAAACCGTCACCCTCACCCTTCTTCTCCAGTTCACCCGTGTGCCGCCGCCGCCGTCTTCCTCCTCAAACCCCCTGCTTTGTTTATCCAAATCCATCAAACAAAACAAAAGCAACACCAATTTCACATCTTTACAAAAAATTCAGAAATGCCAATTAAACCCAAGCCAGTCGGGAACACAGTCGATTCGGAGCGGGGCCTGTGAGCTCCAGTCAATTAGGAGCGGTGGGTCGGAGGCTGTGACCAGATCGAGAAGAAGGGGGTTCAAAAGATGCAGCCTTGGGGGTAGCCATTTGCATTGGCGAGCTTCCAGTGCACGAGGTCGGAGAGTTCAGGTTCATGGTGGTGGATTTAGGGTGGGAAGAAGGGAGTGAATTTTTTTCTGGTTGGGCTAGGATGGTGGTGGTCGAGTTCGTTAGGGTCGGGGGGGGGGGGTTGGGGGATAATGGCTGAGGTAGGTCACGTGGTGGGGGGAAGGGTGGGAAAGTTTTTGGGTTTTGGTTTGCAGGGGTAGGGATTGCAGGGAGGTGTCTCTGACGTTTTTTTTTTCTGGGTTGCGGAGAAGATGAAGATGGGGAATAAGATGGGTGCAGTGGGGTGTGTAGAGGAGGGAAGAGGGTGGGTGCAGGGGGTGGGTGCGCGATGGGTGCCACAGGGAAGATGAAGATGATTTTTTATTTTTTTTCCTCCTCTTCTTCTTTTGGGTTGCAGGTTGCAGGTTGGGTTTTTTTTAGGGGGGGGGGGAGGAGGGAGGGAGGGAAGACGAAGTGGGCTTTGGTTTTTGATTTTTTTTTTTTTTTTTTTTTAGTTTTATAATTTATTTAGAAGATTTAGGTTTTTTTTTTAAATTAAAAAATTATTATTTTTGCCACGTGGCACACATTTGTCAGCCACGTCAGCATTTAACAGATTAATTGATGAAAAATGTAACGGATGTATTATATTGAAATAAAATAGTACTTCAGGTATGAAAGTGAAATGTTTTAAAGATGTTGTATGTGGTTGTAATAGATCTCAAAACTAAAGGGGCTACTGTGTAATTTACCCTATATATATATATATATATATATATATATATATATAAGCGTGCATTGCAAACATATAGTGGAAACACAGAAAGATTAGATATTCCATTGCTCCATCCATCTTGCAGCAGTATATGATTGCATACACAAATGGAGGTGTGAAACAGTCGAGAAATACCTGCCCAGTTCAAAACAGTGACGCCCTTCAATCAATGGCCTGTGTTCAACTAACCACTTTGAACGAAAATGTCCCAGGCCATATTTAATTGGCATTCAACTGATTGAATGAAATTTTCGGACGACCAACTCCATCCCAGGAAACGCGTGCCTCCTCTCTACGAAGCTCTGCTGGCTTTCTAGGGAAGAAGGCAATAGAAGCTTTGGGAATTTGAAACTCGAATTCACAAGATCCAAAACCCAAATTCAATCCATCAACCACAGAAACACAGCAATCCATCCCAGAAAAGGAAAGAAAACTCACACACATTAGTTGAAGAATTATATTGCCCAAGATCAAAATATAATCAACGACAATAGTAATTAAAAGAATCGAATTTGTTCAACATTCCACCAAATACTATGTTCAAATTCACAAATCGAACACTCAAAATATTCCCTTCTTTCAAAGGAAATATATGCACGTTATCATGGATGAATCACAATTTCGTGCAATCACAGAGTCTTTCCGAGATCTTTCCTTTATCCATTTTGATGTAGTTTGAGACAGGTGATGCACGGTGATGTATTGATATAAATTGAATAATGAAAACAAATCCAAGTGAGACTAATATGGCTCTGGTACCATGTAAAATATCAGAGAGATGGGCCGAAGTCCCACTTTTAACAACACCGATATTATCCTCAACTTGATAATTACCACCTGCACAATCCATCAGGTTTGTTGTTTTATCTCAAAATGACTAGGTATTAGCTAGAGTGGGATTAAAATATTTAAACTATTACTTTTGTTTTTCTATGACCGATGTGGGATTTGACACATCCCCTCACGTGGAACCTAATTTGTGGGTCACACATGAGAGATCCACACATCGGCAACCACGCAGGGCCAAGGGACCCACCATCATTGCGCGGGGACAAGGGGACCCACCCATCACGTGACAGTACGTACAAGCCCGCTCTCTGGCGCTGATACCAAATATTAGATTAGAATTTAGTCTCAGACTTGGATCACAACATTCATATAAGTGTCGGTCAATTGTGATTGAATAATCATATATATATGAGATGAATGCACCGAAGAGAAAACAATCAGAACGTCTTCTACTCACACAGTCCTTATGTCCAATACTAGTGATGGTCTAGTGACCGAGTGAATGTGTGTCTGATGAGCAGGGACATTCGTATTTATAGAGTATACTCCTAACGTGATCCCAGCTATCGTGGGATCAGTTAATACCCATTAATTTACACGTTCGAATGAGGCTGACTAACCTCATTTGTATCACGATCCCAAATCCTAAATAATAGGAAAATAGTTTGTTCATATGGCCACACAATCAATTTAAACCACATTTAGGTATCCTTATCAAGATATGTGTAAGTTCAAAACCTAACACATTCCACAAGCTTTGCCTGTTACCATTTGAAAGTGCATGATCAGTGAACATCTGACAAAACCAGTTTGAATCAAGTTAGTACTAGTGAATTAATTTTAACTTCAATGATTCTTGGGCGCAGCTGCACAGAGATCTAGCACGTGAAGCAGTTCGCAAGTCATTGGTTCTTTTGAAGAACGGAAAGGACCCAATGAAACCTTTTCTTCCATTAGAAAGAAATGCTAACAGAATACTTGTTGCTGAAACACATGCCGATGATCTTGGAAATCAATGTGGAGGATGGACGGCTACAAGACAAGGTAGCAGCGGCCCGATTACTATTGGTATGGAATCATGTGGCTATTTCCATTAATTTTTTATAATTGAGAGACTAATTGTGATCAATATAACTTAACAAGACTACGATTTCCCTTTCTAAGAACTTTAAATTCTCAAGTTTCGAACCAGAATTCTTCAACTTTTCAATAACCATTACAACAGCCTACGTAGAAGTTGTGTTTTCTTGTGCTTGAAGAAATCTGGCTATATATTGCTACTTTTAACGGATATTATAATCTTAATTAGGCTTAAATTGATAGCCTGTAAATCAGCATTGTTATTCTCCTCAATTAGGCCTGGCATTTTGGACCCAACCCGTTAACCCGACCCGACCCAACCCGTTAATATTTGTATTTGGGTGGATGCTTAACGGGTCGGGTCGCTAACGGGTGAACCCGTTAACAACCCGTTAAATAACGGGTCACTTTGGGTCAACCCGTTAGACCCGTTAGGACCCGTTAACATCCGTTAGCACCCGTTAGTTGAGGATATTTTAGTAATTTTAGTAAAGTCTTAATAACAAAAAATAAACTTTATGAAAAAAAAATAATAATAATAATTGTTAACGGGTGTTAACGGGTGAAACGGGTGACCCGTTAGCTTAACGGGTCGAGTTCGGGTGACCCATTAGCTTAACGGGTTGGGTTCGGATGACCCGTTAACTTAACGGGTCGGGTTGAACCCGACCCAAACCCAATAAACCCGACCCGTTTACAGGTCTACCCTCAATGCCTTTATTGCCCTAACTTATTAGCACATGTACATGTTTAGGGACAACCATCTTGGAAGCTATTAAGAAAGCAGTTGGAGATGATACAGAAATAATTTATGAGAAATATCCGTCACACTTTAGCGCGTCAAGATATCTCTTTTGCGATCGTGGTTGTTGGTGAAGCTCCGTATGCATTAGGGGCTTACAGTTCGGAACTTATGATCCCGTTCAATGGAATGGATGTCATAAGCTCGATTGCTGACAGAATTCCCGTTTTGGCAATTCTGATTTCCGGAAGAACCTTAGTTTTAGAGCCCTGGCTCTTGGAAATGATGGATGCTCTTCTTGCTGCTTGGCTCCCTGGTACTGAAGGAGAAGGAATTGTAGATGCAATCTTTGGAGATTTTGACTTCGAGGGTAGACTCCGGGTGACATGGTTTAAAAGGGTTGAACTACTGCCTATGCATGCTGCAGACCCTTTATATCCGCTTGGCTTTGGGATGACATTCAATAAGGAGTAATGTTTGCACCAAAGGATTTGAAGATAATGCTGTTTTACGTTTTGATTCTGAGTTTATTGAACTGGTTTTAGCATAACATTTATGTTGGGATTTACGGCTCAAAATTAGGATGATGCAGAAATTAGCTTTGTGTTACCTATTTTATTTGGTGTCCTATTTGTGCTTGGATTTGACTTCTTGGTTGAATTATTTTCTTGGTGGAGAGATTTTGTTAATTACCTATTTGATTGGGATTTGGATTTGGATTTACTTCCACTTAGATTTAGGATTCTTATTGTAACCTAAGTCCTATGCATTATAAATAGGACCTTGGGGTTGGTTTATTTTGTGTGCCTCACCATTAGTTTAGAGAAGTTTCTCTAATTGGGTTTTGTGTGGAGGTCACCATTTGGAGTCATGAGTGTGTGGCAAATTCATGGCTCATTCGTTTGGGAATTTGGTAAGAATCATTTTGAGTTAGAGAACAATTTGGGAGAATCTTGTCCATTTATTTGTTTTGAGTTCTCTACTCGTTTGGTTTAGGATTTGTAGTTTGTAGCATTTGGGTTGTGAAAGTTAAACACTCTTTTGTAATATCGTCTGTTTAGTGAAATTCATCGTCGTGCTTCACTAGTGGACGTAGATTTTGTGTGGAACCAGGTTAAATCTCTTGCATTCTTATTTGTTTTAGTTTTCGCCTACGACATTGATATGTAGTACTTTATCAGAATTCACTTCCGCTTACGCATTAAAGTACCACAATTTATTCATGTATGCATCTTTTTTTTATGCCAATGTCTCCGTATCATCGACAATATCTTTGCTACGAGCGCCACGCGGTCAAATGTAGGGCAGTCCAATAAGAAGATGTCACGTTGACACGAAAGGAAGATAGATTTGAAATCCCGCCGACTTGGCATCTCAGCTGCATACAAGTCGACCAGGATGAAATGGGATGCCTTTTAATTTACCTTTTTACTCTTTTGATTTCTTTCCGCATTCTCATAATTTCCACTATGTACCTTACACAAACCTCCTGAGAGTTTGAGACTACAGTTCAGGGGTTTCACCTGCTTATTGCAATTTACAAGTAAATCTTTACAGAGCATTTCATATACTTATCCACACGACATTATGTAAACAATTCGTTTGCCTAAGGCGAAGGTTTTGTCCGGTCAAAAATTTTCAAGAGAACAAAAAGATTGCGCCTACAAATACACATGGAACAAGGAGTACTTCTACTTTACAAGCTAGACGCAACTCTGAGCAATGACAGAAACCCCTACAGCATAATCTACTGCATGTTTAAGTTTCAGATACATTAGTGTGCACCTGCCGGACGAAAATTTGATGTGCAGTGCAACTCTTGCCGTAGAACGACTGGATAAGTGTGAAGCTTCCATAAACTCTCTTAATATAGGGCTCTTAGTAAACCCTCCCAAGGCAAGCCAAGTTCGTGTATTGAAATCCTCGAACATATTTGGAGTATCCCATTAAAAATCAGCAATTTATGGCAATACGACCTGAGAAAATATTGATTCCATGTTTGTAAGGTATTGAGGAGATAACAACAAGATTAGTCGCGAATCATATTATCCAAAGTAGAAAATAGAAAAAGTGAATTACCATCAAGGCTAACGTCTTCTTTTAGATCTGGTACGACGGCGGAGAATCCGGAAAAACACGACAGTAATAGTGAGAACTACTTGTATGATGATTAATATCTTCAAACCTGGAAACACGAAAAGCCCCAACTTTTGTTCACACATAATTTTTAGCTTATACTAAGACAAGTAAGAAAGAAGAGATTACCTGTAAGCTTCTGAATCAAGTCGTCCAAATTAACTCCACTTTTGGATTGTTTTCTGTCAATTTGCCCAAGACCACCTACTCTTGAGAAGCTATGGATGGTTTTGTACTCAATATTCCCGCCCATGATGCATGTGTTTGGACAATTGACACTACCATCATACTCGTCACTTCCATCGCAACAATCTATGTAAATAGTGGATGGCAACAGACAAACATCATAAATCTAAATGCATAATGGAACTATATATGGAAAGCAAACACATGATTAGACCAGACCGGAGCTTAGAATTAAGTGCCATGGATTTTCTGATGTCAGAGCTTAGAGATAATGGGACTATATCATGCCAAAAGTTAGAGAGCTTCGGAATTCAGACTGAAAGCCCATCCTCAACACTGGATGCAGTCATATATTTAAACCATGTAAAGAAATATTACAGCAAAACGAGTGTGCAAGTGTGTTCATATATACAAGCTAACAGCTGGAGAAAAACGTATAGAATTCAATTATTCAAATACAATGAGCAACTGAAAACATTTTTTTTAGTATAGCAATACCACAAAGCAAGGCATCTGTAACACCCCAGCGATAAATAAGGGAAAACTAGATGTCACTTCCTCATAGAGGAGACTAGTGTTTAAAGAATAATATCAAAGAACACAACTTAAATAAAAATGTAAACTACGACTTAGGCCCCGCCGTATCCTACTAATACAGTTACCCATTTTTTAAAGTTATGTTTAAGTTTTTCATTAACCTCTGGAGGGTGCTAAATTGTTTTGAGTTTTCCCTTTTTGCTTTAAAGCAAGTTTCCTCTACAAGGGAAGTGATATCCCGTTTTCCCTTATTTATCTCTAGGATGTTACAACATCAATTCATCTCGTTGAAAAAATTAAGCTGCAAGCTCCATGAACCATGTATTCCATAGAATTAATTAACAAAAGCCTTAAGTAAATATGCGATTCAAGCAAAGAAGTAACTATAAATATGATACTTACCACAAACATGATCATTAACTCGAGAAGAAAATAGGAAGCGCGGAGTACTTCCTCTATTCAAACAATAGAATTTTCCTGCAGGGCAAGCGGAAGTCCCTGAAAAATTCAAAAGAAGCCTAAATGACTACTGGGGACACAAACAGGGGGATTATCTGCATAGCATAAAAACAAAACTTTATAGTAGGAAGAAACACTTGGAAATGAGAACCGAAACTAATATTATTAAGGTGTAGTTACAGTTTACTCCAACTCCAATTATCATACTTTCTTTTTTATTTACACACCAGAAAAATTAGTCTTTCCTTTCCACCCCATTTCGATTTTTTTTTTTTTTTTTTGTAGATAGGTCACATTGTCATATTTTCTACCCTATTTGAACCCTAAAAGTTCCTAAGTGACTGCAAGTTTCCGGCATTTCCGATCAAATATTCCTGTCAGTAGAGTTACAAAAGTTAGTCCCTGCAAATTGCAATCTCCTTATGTGCCTGTGTTTTCTATTTGGGCGTTCACCAATAAATGAGTGACCCAATTCAAAATTAGGGACAGGAAGATAAATGGAAAAGTTTAAAGAGGCCAATGCAGAAACAAAAATTCAAAGAGGGGTTATTAATAATTGAGAGTTTAGAGCGAGTGAGTACCAGGCTCATCGGTTCCGTCAAGGCAGTCACAGAAATCATCATTGAGACGGTCTCTAGTGAAGGATTTGGAGTGATCCCTGCAGCTGATCACCTCTGAACCATAGTAGCTTTCATCTGCATCCACAAAAGAGAAGAAATTATTTAAATTTCATATATATATAATATATATATATATTTATTTATTTATTTATTTTCATATATATATATATATAGAGAGAGAGAGAGAGAGAGAGAGAGAGAGAGAGAGAGAGAGAGAGACCGAGTGGGTGAACTCCAAGAAGAGGTGGGATGGGGAGAGAGTGGGGAGAGGTGAAGGAGGAGGTGAGTAGGAAACACACGGAGACAAGACGGATGAAACTCGTCTCCATGTCTTTCTGCCAGAAACCCTTTCTTTGTTTTTTGTTTCTTCAAAGGGATATTTTTCTTAATTTGCCAAAAAGAAGGTATTGACCAAGAAAAAGAGGTTTATTGACCACGAAATTTATTTTTCTCGTTTTCACCCTTGACACTTCGGAAACATCAAAAGTCATTCACGCACGAAACAAAAAAAAGAACGGAAAGATAATATTAAAGAAATTAAACATGTAAGCTAAATTTTATAAAAAAATTGTATAAAAGTTAATGATTGAATTATTATTTAAATATTAATTAATGTTGTATTTTCTTATTCGTAAACATTATTTAATTTAAGAGATGTATTCAGTCTAGATTTTGAGCGATTTTAAATTTTGTAATGGATTTAAGAGTATTCAATCAGGATTTCAAGTAATTCTCTATTAATTTTAAAGTGTATTCAAGAAGGGCTTTGATGTCACATCCTGGGCCCGCTCTACCACCGTAACATGATATTGTATGCTTTGAGCTTACAATTCCCTCACGGTTTTGTTTTTGGAAACTCACGAGCAACTTTCAATGGATCACCCATCATGGGAGTGCTCTGGCCTCAGCTTCTCGCTTAACTTCGGAGTTCCTACAGAACTCGAAGCCAGTGAGCTCCCAAAAAGCATTGTGCTAGGTAGGCATGTGAATATACATTTAAGGACCACTCCCCTAGACGATGTGGGATGTCACATTTGAGATAGTTTATTTTTATAAATTCAAATGTATTTAATTAGAATTAAGAAAAAAATGCAATATTGTATTTAATTAAAACTTAATTTTAAATAATTTGAGAGAATTAAAAATTTCATACTCCATTTTAATCATTTCCAAATCTCAAAACTTTTCATAATTTTTTAGAAGATTGAATTAAAATTTTTACATAAAATAAAATCTCCACAAATTAATAAAAACTCCATAAACATTCATAAATAAATTCATAAGTCGATTAAAATCTCTAAAATTCGGATTGATACAACCCCAAAGTCCAAACGTCGACTTTAATCTTGTACTGATTCCGTCGGTCTGTACGGAGACACTCGCAGACAGAGCAAGCCAGACCGCCTGGGGATACAGAAACAGATCTTAACGGTGGCACTTTACTCTTCCCTCCCAATTATTGAATCTCCACCGTCCGATCTCCTCAACATTGTCCTTCAGATTCAACTCTCCGGCCGCCCATCTCCTCCCTGATCTCCTCTCGACAATAGCATTTCCCTCGCAAATTCAAGGTGCATAATCGTCTCTTCCCTCGTTTTTCGTATCAGAATATGACCTCATTTCATTAATTTGGTTCACGGTTTATCCCCTTGATTGAATTGTCCGTTTGTAAACTTATGTATGAAGGTGGACGCACATTTTTGTTTAGTTGCTGAGATTTTTGAGAGAGAAAATTAGAAATTCAATCTTAATTTCACGTGAATTATGATGGGTTGGTTTCGGAATACAGAAATGTGAACTGGGCAGTTGCAATTTTGTCAAAGGATTTAGTCTTGGTCCTTTGCTTTTGATTGGGGTAAAAATAAGTAAATAAAAGTTGTGTCATGCTTAATGGTAACTGAATTCAATCAATTTCAATTTCAGTGTTTGATAAATTCTTCGTATAACTCCGCCTATGTCTTACATGGCCGGTCCCAAGCCCGGATAAAGGAGGAGGGGGAGGGCGTCAGGTAGTCGACAGCCGGCACTCCATGATCACGTCGAATCCTTATGAAAATGAATCCAGAACAAAATCGCGCTAAAGCTAGGGCGTCACCCGTAAGTGGCGCGCTGTGTGGCCCGAGCACAGTGATAAGTGAGCAAGGGT